CTATAAATATTTATTAAATTTACTTGTTCCGGATCCGAGAGTCCTTGATATCCTTATTAATTTTCTGTCTCATTGAATCTAAGTCTCTATGTATCTGGGTGTTAGGATCGTTAGCTCTTGTTGTTGCATTGATCCTTTTACCACTATATCTTTGTTGCTTTAAAATCTATTTTATCCGACACGAGAATTGCAACTCCTGCTTTTTTATTTATTTATTTATTTATTTTTGCTCTCCATTTGGTTGGTAAATCTTTCTCCATCCCTTTGTTTTGGGTCTTTGTGTATCCTTGCATGTGAAACAGGTCTGGATGTAACATGCCGTTGGGTTTTGGCTGTGTCTTTTGATTGGGGGATTTAGTCGATTTAAATTTAGGGTTACTGCCATTTGATGTTGACTGGCTGTTTTATACATTCGTTGATGTAAATTCTTCTTTATGTTGGTGCTCTTTATTTTTTGGTATATTTTTAGAAAGGCTAATACTGGTTGTTTCTTTCTGTGTGTAATGCTTCTTTCAGAAGCTCTTGTAAAGCAGGCCTGGTGGTAATAAAATCTCTGAGTTCTTCCTTGTTCATAAAAGATTTTATTTTTCCTTCAGTTGTGAAGCTTAGTTTAGCTGGATATGAAATTCTGGGCTGAAGGTTCTGTTCGTTGAGGATGTTGAATATTGGCCCCCACTCTCTTCTGGCTTGTAGAGTTTCTGCTGAGAGATCTGCTGTAAGTCTGATAGGCTTGCCTTTGTGGGTAACCTGACCTTTCTGGCTGCCCTTAATATTTTCTCCTTAGTTTCAACCCTGGTGAATCTAACGACGATTATGTGCCTTGGGGTTGCTCTTCTTGAGGAATATCTTTGTGGTGTTCTCTGTATTACCTGGGGTTGAATATTGACCTGCTTTGCTAGTTCAGGAAAATTTTCCTGAATAATATCCTGAAGGGTATTTTCCAGCTTGGATTCATTCTCTCCGTTGCATTCAGGTACACCTATGAAATGTAAATTTGGTCTTTTCACATAGTCCCACATTTCTTGGAGACTTTGCTCACTCCTTTTTATCCTTTTTTGTCTAATCTTGTCTTCTCGTTTTATTTCATTAAGTTGGACTTTGACCTCTGATATCCTTTCTTCTGCTTGAATAATTCGAGTGTTTAAACCTGTGCATACTTCTCGGAGTTCCTGTATTATATTCTTCAGTTCCATTAATTCACTTATATTCCTCTCTAAAGTTGTCTATTCTCAATAGGATTTCGTCAAACCTTTTTTCAAAGTTCCTAGTTTCTTTACGTTGGGCTACAACGTGTTCTTTTAACTCACAGAAGTTTCTTACTATCCATTCCCCGAAGTGTGATTCTGTTATTGGGATGCGCTCGTTCTCCATCAAGCCTTGTTCCATTGTTGATGTGGAACTGTGATCCTCTTTAGAGGGAGAGCTATTCTGATTTTGAGTATTCTCAGCCTTTTTACGCTGGTTTCTTCCCATTATTGTAAATTTATCCTCCTGTCGTCTTTGAAATTACCTACTTTCAGATTAGGTCTCTTGAGTGGACGTCCAAGTTGTTAGTTCCCAGGGCCAGAACAGCGGCATTAAGATTGATGGTGCTTTTCTGCCCAGGATTCTCCTGTCTGGCTTCCTTCTTGTGTCCGTAATAGGCGACTCTGCCGGTTTATGTTTTTCCTATCCTGGCTAAGAAATATTGGCCAATCCCAAGATTTCAAAGACATTGCCTACATTTTCTTCTAGGAGCTTTTGAGTTTTAGGTCTTATATTTGGTATATAAAACACATAGAATTAATATTTGTGTATGATGTGACCTACCACCCAAATGATTCTTGAGAGCAGTCAACTCTTTCTCTTTTAAGTACCTCTCCTTCATCATTTCTCATTTTCCCTTAATTTGCAAAGCAGGGGTATCTCTCATTTCTGTTTCCCAGAGTATAGTATACTTAATGCTGACAGGACAGTTTTCTTCCTTAACGATCTGTCCATTAATTGGAATTATGGAATTATGAAACCAAATTCCTGAAAGGAAATAGTATACTCAGTTCAATTTTCCCCTAATTTTTGTGCTTCCTTAGAATAATACTTTAGATTTATGAATTAAGAAAAAAAAGGGCAATTTTTATGAAGTCAGTCGTTTGAGAGAGATAAACAGACTCTAGTTACCATGTTACCCTCTACACAAAGCGGAGCTGGTTTTTCAGCTGGTTTTTCATCTCGTTCTACCTGCTCTGACAGTTTCTTTCAAATGAATGTTGTGATTAGCAGTGTTTGGAGAGTTTCGTACATTGGAAAAGACAAAGAAGCTTAGAACAGTGAAATAGATGAGACCTGATGCCTGTAAAAAAAATAGTAAAGTATAAAATAGTAACACCAGTTGTTTGGTGTCATTTTTCCAAAATACTTCAATCACTTTCTTCTGTTGCCTCTTATATCTTTATAAGACATCTAGAAATATTTTATAGAGGAAAAGTTGAGGTATTGAGTCATTAACTGGAATACTCTCAGTTTACAAGTACCTAGTATACATTTTGAATGTATAAGAGGTGACCTGGCTGTGTGCTGGGGATCGGGGATTCTCCTCTTGCTATATAGCAAGTATTAGTTGGTGTTGACACTGCAGCTTTAGTTCCACCTTTTTCAGTAGACACATAGATCCCTTTCCTCCCCTCCAAACAGGGAGAGGGAATGTTTCAACCAGCCTTTTAGCTAAGAAACTATTTTCCCATAGAGATAATATTTATAAAAGCTAGTTAGACCCCAGTCTCTCAGTCAGAAGTTCAGTAGTGTATCAGAGATACCGTAGCTACTATTGTTGTTAACCAGGAAACAAACTGATGAAATACATGATATATCATTAAATTATTGAAACTTTTTCATAAACAGCATACATAATTATTCCCTTGTGGTTTTGTTTTCAAAAATGGGGTCTCTTTATTTTGACCAGGCTCAAGTATAATTCAGCAAGATCATAGCTCCTTACAGCCTCAGCCTCCCAGTATCTGGGACAACAGGTGTGTACTACCATGCTCAGCTTCTCGTAGTTTTTATTTTTTGTTTTTTAAAAAACAGTTCTTATGTTGCCCAGGCTGGAGTGCAGTCAGTGGCTATTCACGGATGTGATTGTAGCACACTATCAGTCTTGAACTCCTGGGTTTAAGTGATCTTCTGCTTCTACCATCTGAGCAGCTGGAACAGGTGCACACCACCGTGCCTGGCTCGCCTTGTAGTTTTTTTTTTTTTTTTTTTTAAGGCAGAGCTACTCTGTCACACAGGCTGGAGAGCAGCAGCACGACCTCGGCTTACTGCAACATCTGACGCCTGGTTTCAAGTGATTCTCCTTTCTCAGCCTCCCAAGTAGCTAGGATTACAGGTGCGCACCACCAAACCCAGCTAATTTTTGTAGTTTTAGTAGAGCTGGGGTTTTTCCGTGTTAGCCAGGCTGGTCTCGAACTCCTGACCTCAGGTGATCCACCCACCTAATTGTAGTTCTTAAGATCGTTTTTCATACTTCTGAGATCCCAGGAAGTCATATTATGGTATTCTGCTGTTTCAAGAAACTTTGAAATCTAATCTTTGTATATGACAGGAGGGAGTCTCTCAAACTCGGGTAAAAAGAAAACAATTGGAATTAAGTTGGATTAAAAGCATAGAAGAATTTTAGCATTACTGTCTAAATTTTTTTCATCATATGAGTAATACGTTTATTGTAGATAAATGTTTTATAAGTTATATATTTATGTATTGCAATTATTTATACATTTTAAGTAAAAATTTGTTACTGTTTAATGTAACGTGTTCTACTTACGTATAAATATTTTTTGTAAATACAAGGTTATCATTACATACTTGTTGCCATCAGACTTTCTTGACTTCCTATATCCATGAACCGACTTATATCATAATTTTTAATAGCTGAGTGGTATGGTACTCTGATGAATTTTAGAGTTTATTTAGCCAGTCTCCTTTATTGGACATTTATTTTTAGGTTTACATTTGTAAAAAGCACAATGGTCATCTTTGCACAAGTCTTTATTAGGGTGAATTCCTGGAAGTAAAATTTCTGAATTAAAGAGTTCGCATTTTTGAGGCTTTAAATCTAAATGCCAAATTGTGGTCCAGATAGGTTGTAGCAATTCACATTCCTTCTAGTGTTAAAGTGTACATGTTCTCCCTATCATGGATAGTAGATGTTTTCTCAACTCATTGTTAACTTGGTCATTTAAAAAATTTCATTTCAGCCAGGCACGGTGGCTCATGCCTGATCCCAGCACTTTGGGAGGCTGAGGCAGGAGGATCATGAAGTCAGGAGATCAGGACCAGCCTGGCCAACATGGTGAAACCCCATCTGTACCCAAAATACAAAAATTAGCCAGGTGTGCTGGCGGGTGCCTGTAATCCCAGCTACTTAGGAGGCTGAGACAGAGAGAATTGCTTGAACCCAGGAGGCAGAGGTTGCAGTGAGCCAAGATCACGCCACTGCACTCCAGCCTGGGCAACAGAGCAAGACTCTGTCTCAAAAAAAAAAACAACAAAAAAAAACTATCTCAGCCGGGTGTGGTGGCTCATGCTATAATCCTAGCACTTTGGGAGACCAAGGCGGGCCAATCACCTGAGGTCAAGAGTTTGAGACCAGCCTGGCCAACATGGTGAAACCCCATCTCTACTCAAAATACAAAAATTAGCCAGATGTGGTGGTGTGTGCCTGTAATCCCAGCTACACAGGGGCTGAGGCAGGAGAATCACTGGAACCCGGGAGGTGAAGGTTGCAGTGAGCCAAGACACCCCACTGCCCTCCAGCCTGGGCGACAGAGCAAGACTGTCTCAAAAAAAAAAAAAACCTCTTTAATTGGCATTATTCATGAAATTGATCATTTTTAATCTTCACTATCTACTGTAGATGTTGGTCTAACGAATGAGCAGCTCATAGTTTTGATTACAGATACTTCAGAAATTTTTTCCCATTCATTAATCAGAGTTTGCAATGATTTCTTTTGTTTTCTGCCCAGGAGCGACTGAAGCTGGTGACTGTTTTGGGTGCTGGACTTCTCTGTGGAACTGCTCTGGCGGTCATCGTGCCCGAAGGAGTACATGCCCTTTATGAAGACATTCTTGAGGGTGAGAAAGAGAAGAGCCTTATTTGAGATACGTTATTGACTTGGAGGGTTGGCAGGATGAAACTTAGTGGTATATTTTCTGAGCACAGTTCATGTTTACTGTAAATTCTACCCTGAGAAGAATTGTTGAGAGATATCTTGCTGTCTTTGATATTGAACACATCCTTAGCAGTTTGTGAATTGAATGGCCCAATTCATAAATGCCACTTAATGTTTATTTGCCATAGTGCATGAATATGAGTCATTTAAGTTACGACAGTTCTTTTTTAATGCTTACTCAAACACTTCCCAAATCCCACATGATAGTGGTTGCATTTTTTGTTTAATTTAAAAAATATATAGATATAAACATTTAAGGACCCTTTACAGTAAACTTTATAGATAATTGGTGAGGACCTATGCAGTAAAAGATAACTGAAAAATTAAAGAGGCCTTTCCTGACCTTAATAGCAACAAGCAGAGGGAACAGGATGGTTGTGTGAGAGTAAATGCTTGGTGGTCAGCTTGGTTCACTCACCAGCAAAGTAATTTCAGCCTTCACACAGCTGAGAAGCATACTTGATTCACATTTGCGACTCAGCAAAATCAGATTACTACATGTCATGAAACTTTGCAGTTACCTGTGAAGGATCAACACCACAGCTGTTAAATCTGTGAGCTGAATCCTCAAGTACCAAGAGTTTACCAGATGTTAAGAATAGTATAAAGAGGTAGGCACTTCCAAATTTCTTACAAGATACAATATAATATATACTTTTTTCAGATCTTGGTAGAGGAAAATAACTGTCCTTCATCCAGAATAATGACGCTCTTAGGCCTCGGGTTTGATGGGTGAAGCGTTGTGTTAGATATAAATGAGGACTGCAGATATAAATGAGGATTGCAAGATAGGACAGGGGCCGAGGAGTGGTCAGCTGTATTGGGGAGCCTTAAAGCAGTGGTCTCTACTTTTTTATGGTCATACATCCTATAGGGGGTGGGGGGAATGATTTACATGCACTATTGCACTGATTTAATGTGTACATTATAAAATACACTCCAAAAATAGGAACATTTTTGAGACCTGAGATTTAAATATACATAGAAGATCAGTATTTTCTTTCATATCCTAGTGGGCCATCTTGAATTTTTCTGAGATGTGATTCCACTGTAGAAATCACTATCCTAATATTTGGCTTTTTATGGGTGGCAGTTGTTTTCTAAACTTGTGTGATAATGATTTATCGTTTCCTCAAGGAAGAGGTGCATTTTAAAAGTGTAATTTCCTGACCACCAGTTTAGATTCCTTAATCAATCTCCAGGGAAGGATCCCAGGATATCTTTTTTTTTTGAGCCGGAGTTTCGCTCTTGTTTACCCAGGCTGGAGTGCAATGGCGCGATCTCAGCTCACCGCAACCTCCGCCTCCTGGGTTCAGGCAATTCTCCTGCCTCAGCCTCTTGAGTAGCTGGGATTACAGGCACACGCCACTGTGCCCAGCTAATTTTTTGTATTTTTAGTAGAGACGGGGTTTCACCATGTTGACCAGGATGGTCTCAATCTCTTGACCTTGTGATCCACCCGCCTCAGCCTCCCAAAGTGCTGGGATTACAGACGTGAGCCACCGCGCCTTGTCTATGATTCTTATGAAACAAGTTTTGGAAACACTAGAGTAGAGTAAAGAAGTGCTTCAAGTATAGCTTCTTTGTATTATTTTTAGTATCAATTTGAGATATATTTCATATACCATATTTCAGGTATAGTTGGGGTTTGGTTTTTTTTTTCGTATTTTTTTTTTATTTGTTTTGAGACAGAGTCTCACTCTGTTGTCCAGTTTTGTGATCACAGCTCACTGAAGCCTCAACTCTCTTGGGTTCAAGCTATCCTCCCACCTCAGCCTCCTGAGTAGCTGGGACTATAGACGCACACTGCTGTGCCTGGCTAATTTTTAATTTTTTTTGTAGTGATAGAGTCTTCCTCTGTTGCCTACGCTGGTCCCCAACTCTGGGACTCAACAAGTCTTCCCAGCTTGGCCTCCCAAAGTGCTGGGATTATAGGTGTGAGCCACCACCCTCAGGCCAGTTATAGTTTAAGGCTAAAATCTTTCCTCCATTCCCAACCCCTGGCATACAACTGATCTCTTCTCTGTCTTTATAGTTTTGCCTTTTCAGAATGTCGTATAAGTGGAATCATGTAACCTTTGGGTCTGGCTTTTTATTTAGCATAATGCATTTGAATCTCATATGAAGGGAAAATGTGTATTGTGGAAAAACTACGCATGGATTTCAAAAACCTTTTTTGCACGAAAATAAGCTTGCACTGACTTGTTGTAACATATCTGAATGGGATACAGTTAGAGGCACTAAGAAGGTTATTACAAGGAAAAGAGCCTGTATTGGAGTAATATGAATTCTGCTAAGATTGAAACAAGAATAAACATCAAATTTGTGGAGAAGGTTGGGTGCAAGAATGGAAAAATCACTGATGGTTTACAAAAATTTATGGGGACAATGTTCAAAAGAATTCAGCAGTTTACAAATGGATAAGTTGTTTTAAGAAGGGACAAGATGATGTTGAAAATGAAGCCTGCAGCTTCAGACCAGCCACATCTATTTTCACAGAAAAAAATTAATTTTGTTCATACTATAATTAAAGAAGACAAAATTAACAGCATAAAAAATAGCCAACCCCATAGCCCTCTACATTGGTTCAGCTTACACAGTTCGACTGAAAATTTTAAGTTGAACAGACTTTCCACTCAATAGATGTCAAAACGGTTGTGCCCAGATCAGCTGCAGACAAGAGCAGAACTCTGAATGGAAATGGGATCCAAGTGGGATCAAGATCCTGGAGCATTTTTTCAAAGAACTTTAGCACAAGATGAAGCATGGCTTTACCAATACGATCCTGAAGGCAAAGCACATTCAAAGCAATGGCTGCCAAACAGTGGAAATGTCAGTCAAAGCAAAGTGGGTCAGTCAAGAGCAAAGGTCACTGACAGTGTTTGGGGATGTGCAAGGCATTTTGCTTGTTGATTTTCTAGAGTGCCAAAGAACCATAACACCTGCATATTATGAGCGGGTTTTAAGAAAGTTGGCCAAAGCATAAGCAGAAAAATGCCCAGGAATGCTTCATCAGAGAGTCCTCCACCGTTGCAATGTTCCTGTTCATTGCTCTCATCAAACAAGGGCAATTTTGCGAGATTTTCAATGGGAAGGTTTTAGGTATCTGCTTTATAGTCCTGATTTGACTCCTTCCAACTTCTTTTTGTTTCCTAATCTTAAAATCTACAAAGGGCACCCATTTTTCTTCAGTTAATAATGTAAAAAAGACTACATTGATTGACATGGTTAAATTTCCAGGACCCTTAGTTTTTTAGAGGTGAACTAAACAGCTGGTATCATTATTTACAAAAGTGTCTCACACTTGATAGAGCTTATGTTGAGAAATGAAGGTTATATTTTTTAATTTTTTTAATCTTTTAATTTCATTTTTCAACAAGATTTTTGAAGTCCCCTCATTTTGTTCTGTATATCAGTAATTTGTACCTTTTCTTCTGCGTAGTATTTCATTGTTTGGATGAACCATATTTGTCTGTTCCTTCACCAGTTGGAAGACATATATATATGGGTGGTTTCTGATTTGAGTGACTATGAATAAAGTCACTATGAATATACAGGTTTTTGTACGAACGTGAGTTTTTATTTTTCTTGCAAAAATACTTATAAGTGCCAGCCTGGGCAACATAGCAAAACCCTATTCCTACAAAAAATTAGCCACACGTGGTGCCGCATACCTGTAGTCCCAGCTCCTTAGGAGACTGAGGTGGGAGGATTGCTTGAGCCTGGGAGCCAGAGGTTTCAGTGAGCTAAGATTGTGCCACTGCACTCCAGCCGGCGACAGAGCCATACCCTGTCTCAAAAAAAAAATACCTACAGGTAGGATTGCTGGGTCACATGACAAATATATGTTTAATTTCATGGGAAACTGACAAACTCTTTCTAAATTGGCTGTAATATTTTGCATTCTCATCAATAATAGATGAAAGTTCCAGTTCTCCCCTTCCTTGTCAACACTTGGTATTGTCTGTTTTGTTTTAGTTTTTTATTTTAGCCATTCTAATAGCAGCGTAGTGATATCTCAGTGTGGTTTTAGTTTGCATTTCCCTGTGACTAATGATGCTGAACATCTTGTCATATGCTTAATTGCCATTGTTAGAGCTTCTGTGGTGATATCAAGCCTTTTACTCATTTTAAAAATTGAGTTTTCTTATTGAGTTTTGAGAGTCCTTTGTGTATTCTAGATACAAGTCCTTTATCAGATACATGTTCTGCAAATATTTTCTCCTAGTTCGTGGCTTATCTTTTCATTCTCTTAACAGTATCTTTTGGAGAACAGTTTCTAATTCTGATGAAGTCCATTTTTCCAGTTATTTCTTTTAAGATTGTGCTTTTGGTATCATATCTAAAAACCCCTTGCTGAGCCCAAATTCACAAAGATATTCTCTTTCATTTTCCTCTAGAATTTTTATAATTTTCACTTTGACGTTTAGTTCTATTTTCTATTTTGATATAATTTTGAATGTAGGTGAAAGTTCATTTTTTGGCATATGGATTGATGTTCAGTAGTTCCAACATTGCTTGTTGAAAAAAAAATCATTTCTCTATTGAATTGTTTTTGCACTTTTGTCAAAAATCAATTAACTGTATTTGCGTTGGTCTATGTCTGGATTCTCTATTCTGTTTTATTGATTTGTTTGTTTACCCTTTGCGGTACTACATTGTCTCGATGACTGTAGCTTCATAGCAAATCTTGAAATCAAGTAGTGTAGTCCTTCTGATTTTTTTTTTTTTTTTTTTTTTTGAGACAGGGTCTCACTCTTTCTCCTAGGCTGGAGTGATGATAGCTCACTGTAACCTCAAACTCCTGTGCTCAAACAATCCTCCCACCTCAGCCTCTCCAGCAGCTAGGACTACAGGTGCATGCCACCATGCCTGGCTTATTATTTAAACTTTTTGTAGAGA